ATGGAGTTACAGTTTTACCACCTGTTTACATTAGTGTAACTTACCTTGATGGAGTTACAGTTTTACCACCTGTTTACATTAGTGTAACTTACCTTGATGGAGTTACAGTTTTACCACCTGTTTACATTAGTGTAACTTACCTTGAATGAGTTACAGTTTTACCACCTGTTTACATTAGTGTAACTTACCTTGATGGAGTTACAGTTTTACCACCTGTTTACATTAGTGTAACTTACTTTGATGGAGTTACAGTTTTACCACCTGTTTACATTAGTATAACTTAGCTTGATGCAGTTACGGTTTACCACCTGTTTACATTAGTGTAACTTACCTTGATGGAGTTACAGTTTTACCACCTGTTTACATTAGTATAACTTACCTTGATGGAGTTATGGTTTACCACCTGTTTACATTAGTGTAACTTACCTTGATGAAATAGAATATAGAAGACAACCAGTAGTTGGTACCTTTGTAATATTTTTCGAGTGTTTCTCGTAAACTAAACGATTTTTAAGTTTATCATTATGGTTTGTTATGAACGATTGGCATAACCACATCTAAGGAATTACAAGACATTACTACAAATATTTTAATTAGTAAATTAGATTATTGTTGTGGTTTAGATATTAACGGAATTAATATATTTCCAGTTTTTTACCGCTCTTGTACACAACGCACACTAGTTATTTCGGGGAATCCTATCAAAATCTTTGACATGAGACCATACGTCCAAACAAAAAAATAAGTGGAAAGTCGTACATACACGTGTTATATTAACAACGTGAACATAGAGAAGTTGCCATTACGACGTGCGTTATATTGGATATTTGAAAGAAGAAATAGTCAATGGGAAAATAGAAAATTAGCACTTACATTTTTTTTTCCCCCATAGTCTTTGCGGACCGTCGAGCCGATGGCAGATTTTGCTCTGCCATCGTTTCTAAGGCTGTTTCTTACGTCAAGGATGCAACCCACTTGATAGCCTTCCCTCTTTGAAAGGACGAGCACGTCTGGTGGGACTGGGATTCGAACCCGCGACCCTCAGATTGCGAGTCGAGCGCCGTATCCACCAGGCCATGCCGGGCCCAGCACTTACATAGGGTGTTAAATTGGCAGAAACTAACACAACGTTTTTTTTTCAACGTTTCACAAGTCTCAACGTGTTTACTTTCAACCTAGAGAGATGGAGTTGTTTAAGGGTAGTTTTCAGGCTTAACGTGTTTATCATGATACGTTAGTAACATATTTTATCTTTCAACTTACGTGTTTACCCACGTGATTAAGAAGACGATATTATCATAAAACTCGTGTTTTGGAAACATGGTCACGGTTATATTCTCACGGGCATTAAAAGAACTGTATCTTGTTTGATTGATAGCGCCATCAACGTATGCAGCAACCTCAACTGTCACACGTTAGGGTTCACTAATATTGCATTAATTAACCACCAGTTGTTCTAGACGATGGTTACTTCTGTTTATGACCTATTTACACTACTACCACGTGATTTAGTTTTACCAAGGCTAAATTAGAGATTCTGTAGCCACCAAGTCGCCCGGCAACCCTATGCGTTACCATAGTAACGATGACGAGGTAAATTAGATCGTTGGCAGACTTTGAGCGGCCACGACACGTTTCGTGCCACGTGCAACCGTAATAACTCTCCTATTGGCACGTGCTCCTTGGACTGTAACTTTTCAGTACCGCCTACGTGATAGACAGTTAACCCTAAAGCATTTAATAATAACGCGTAACGGAACGGGAGGAAAGTACATCCGTAGCCGCTAGAAGCTCTTATGTACAGGGTGTTCAAAAAGTCTGGAACCATAGGTGATTTACAGCATTACTTGATTTCAGGTACGTGACTGTTTATGGCGCTGTAAAAGCATGAGAAGGTCGAGTTAGTCCTGCTGTGTGACAGAGAATGGTGGTCCCAGTGGGAGGTCGCTGCCGAATTTAATGCACTACATCGAGAGAGAGAGAGAGAACATCACCGAAAGTGCTGCTGGGAAACTGCTCGCTACATTTAAGGAGACTAGCAGTGAGGACCATCGACAGTGACACGAATATGTTTCACGGTGTGCAAAGAGACTGTAAATATCAACTCCAGACTATGGTTCCAGACTGTATATATGTACATATGTATGACTGTATAAATGTACAATACAGCCTGTTGAAAGCTAAATACCGTATAAAAAAATCTGAATAGAACTGATTTTCAAATGAGGCCCAACCATTCCAACTTTTATATGTGATCCAGTTGGTTAGTATCGTTAGTGCTAGTAACTAAGTTACTTAATTATTTTTGTAATGTTGGTGTTGACTAGAAATCATTTATTTTATTAACAGAAAGACTGTCTCTCTCTTAAACTGTTTTGGGTGTGGCCTAATCATTGGTGTGTTGGGGAGCGGATCGAAGGGTCGAGATAGGATGCCGTTGGACACGCTCCACATTTTCAGCAGTGGGTGCATTATGAAAGTGACAGTCAATTTTGTTATTCAGTTCAAAGACCTGTTAGAAATGTACAGTTTTGATTCCCCTTTTAAATATAGAATTTCTAGAAACTTGTTCTAGGGTAAAACACAAGATTCCCAATAATTTATTGGGATTTATCATGTTTCTGGGAGTGAGTGGATACGATGAAATAACTTTGTCAAGTAAATGGAAACTTAGTAAAACCTCCTTTCCAATAACGAGTGGTTTACATACAAATGTTAACTAATGAATTATTTACAATCAATAGGGGTGATCGTAAAACCTTCTATCATGAAAGACTATCAGTTAACAAGTTTTTCTGGATATTTAGACGTACAGCAATCCTACCCCAAACTTGAGAAAATAGCCTCGAACCTCGGCTGTTATAATTGTTCGTGCAGCTTTCCTTAGATCCTTAAATAATAGTCCTGTTCAAAATGTTACATGAAAACATTCTTTTTCTCTGTACTTTGTGAAACAAGACGTAAATGATCTATGACAGCAAGAAGGACAGTCATTTTAGAAGTATAGACATCAATACAATGCTACATACACGTGCCAACATAGCACGTGCTCTTCCTGAGAAGATAACAATAATGAACGATTTATAGGGAACTTAACAAATCGGAGAAATTAATAAACAGATAACTGTAGACTAGTGACATCAACAGTTTAAAGTGAACTGTATAACTGTAAACTAGTGACATCAACAGTTTAAGGTGAACTGTACAACTGTAAACTAGTGACATCAACAGTTTAAAGTGAACTGTATAACTGTAAACTTGTGACATCAACAGTTTAAAGTGAACTGTACAACTGTAAACTAGTGACATCAACACTTTAACGTGAGCTGTACAACTGTAAACTAGTGACATCAACAGTTCTGTGATATAAGTGTACTAGGCTTATGCAGTAAGTACTATTTTTACGTTTTAATCGTTCTCAAGTTAAATCTGTTGACATTTTCTTTGCTGTAATTGTTAATCTACATTAATCGTGATGCCAGATTCATGGTTCATATAGGTATGCCTGTAATTATATGATAAAAGAGTGTTTGTTTTTCAAGTATATCTGTCATCCAATCTACA